TGTTGATGCCTTAAGAGTTCCCTTCACTGGAACAAAGGGGCCAAGCTCAACCCCTGAAAAACAACCCCACACCATAACCCTCCCTCCACCAAACGTTACACTTGGCACAATGCCGTCAGACAAGTACCGTTCTCCTGGCAACTGCTGAACCCAAACACATCCACCGGATTGCCAGACAGAGAAGACTGATTTGTCACTCCTTGAACACGTCTCCACTGCTCTAGAGTCCAGTGGCAGCGTTCTTTACACCACTACATCTGTCACTTTGCATTGCACTTAGTGATGTAAGTCTTGGATGCAGTTGCTCTGCCATAGAAACCTGTTCCATGAAGCTTTCTACGCACTGTTGTTGTGCTAATCTGAAGGCAACATGAAGCTTGGAAGTCGTTAGCTATTGACTGTGCAGACAGTTGGTGACTTCTTCACACTGTGCTCTTAAGCATTCGCTGACCCCACTTTGTCATTTGATGTGGCCTACCACTTCGTGGCTGAGTTGCTGTTGTTCCCAGTTGCTTCCACTTTGTTATAATACCACTAACAGTTTACCATGGAATATTTAGTAGCAAGGTAAGGTCACGGATGGACTTATTGCACAGGTGGCAACCTATCACGGTACCATGCTTGAATTCACGGAGCTCCTGAGAGCAACCTATTTTTTCACAAATGTTTGTAGAAGCAGTCTGCATGACTAGGTGCTTCATTTTATACACCTCTGGCCATGGAGGTGATTGGAACACCTGAACCAAATAATTTGGTGGGGTGTCCCAATACATTTGGCAATATAGTGTATGACACTCTGTGCGAAAGTTCAGTGGAAGTGTTTCATTTTAGTCCTATTGAAGCCCTCGTGCCTAGTGCAGTTGATTGCACTTCAAAGCCTGCAGATCCTCAGCTGACACCACTGAGGTGGTAAATGTGGAGATGATAACCTCTCCTCAAAGCCCACTAAAGTCTCTTGTCCTGGTGGGAAACATTTCTGTCAAACTTGCTTCATAACAAAAATCTACCAAATATTCTGCCTCCTGATTGATAAAGTTAAGTGATTAAATCAGTTTCATAGGTCTTGTTTTCAAACACCGTCGGTTTTGTTCTGTTCTGTTCTTTGTGGGGGTAGTATGAAACACATTGCATTATTACTTATTGCAGATTGGTAGATGGACAAAAGATGGCAGTGCTCTGAAGTTCAGCTGACATAGAAAATTGTACAGCAGTGCTAGGACTGCTCGGACTTGTATTCTGCAAGCTGGATTTCTTCCTTCAGTTTAATTTAAACAGAAATACAGTTTCCAAATAAGTGAGGACAAGCTTTTGGGGTATGTCCCCTTCTTCAAGGTCCAAGCAGTAGAAGCAGAAGAAGGGGACATACCCCGAAAGCTTTTCCTCAAAATTGTACGTTAGTGCAAATAAAAAAAAGTATCACGGACAGTACTCAATTGTTTCTGTCGCAAATGCACTAAAAACGGCTACAATCACCTCAAGCAAATACGTGAGCAAAGGGATGGGAGCAGATAAAAAGAAAAGCCTGGGAGCTTGGGGGGAGGAGGAAGGAGACTGTGAGCAGGTGACTACGTGTGTGAGAAGGCTGTGCAGGACTCAGAGGGCCCAGGCCAGATTGGGTCACACCAGAGAGTCAAAAAGAGGGACTGCCGATAGCCAGTATTGCTGAAAGGCAGGAGAGTTAACTGTGCAGGCAGGCAGATCATGGTATTGGCATCAGCATCGCTTATTCCACAGAGATATCAAGAGAGCAAGGGGGCCCCTAACTGAGAGATAAGTGATTCTGTTATTTTTAGTTGCTTTAGTTCAGTACACTTTGCTTTACAGTTTGCCACTTTGAGACACAGACAGCGTAGCTCATTCAGTACTGCAGCCTACTGCTCTAGTGTCTCCCTATTATTCTGAACTCTGCAGGCATTAATACTGTCAGTATCTCATCTCAAAGCTCTTCCAGCTGTAAAGGAACTTGCTTCACCAGGCTAATTCACCACCTACATGGGTTCAGTTCTGCTAACGTCTACTTCCGCCCCTTTCTCAACTTTAACTATCCTTACATTGATCCTCTGTGTTAATCACTTTCCATCCGCCCACAATGTACTGCGGACGGGCGACGTACCCGTACATTGCTGGTGTTCTACTAACACAGGTGGGCGCAGAAACCTCCCCCCCATGTTTGCTGTGTCCACTTCACAGAAGATTTGTATCAATTAATTGTGGGCCAAAGTAATTTATACACCCAACAATCAATGGCTGCCCTAACTGAGCTCTTGCCAGACAATTCACATGGAAGTCACGGTTTCTGAATGTAAAACTTTTTTGGACCCTGTTATCTGCTGTTACATATGTGCCCAACAAAGACCAACAATGTACTGTCACTGGACTTTGAGTGGTTATACCGGGATGATGCCTGCAGCTACATGCATGGTTTTTTTCTTAGCTGGCAGTCGGCTGGATTGCTTTTACAAGCAGTGGGAAGGGACGTCCCTTCCCCTACCGCCACCTTCCATGGTTTTCTTGGGCTCGCCTGTCCCACCGGGGAACCCAAGAATGCAGCCAGCAGTTCTCCTGGCTGACCATAGAGCTGATCAGAGACCAGAATGCCTCCAGTCATCTCTATAGTCTAAGTTAGAGAAAGGAAGCTATGAGCATGTAATCATTTCCATTTCACTAGATATCCAGATATAAATAGCGCCATTTTAAAATTGGGACTAGATATGTCACCATCCAAAACCTCCAAATTGTTGCCTACATTCCAAATCACTATGGAGACAGGTACTTCCAGTTCGACAGTGCCTGGGACTCCTGACCATCCAGAGTGGCTTGGGATTCCCTCCACCATCTACAGCAGTTAGCACCCCACCATACGGATTCTTGCAGGAATAGGATCATAGCTATACTGATAGGCTATTTTATCACTTCCACATTGTGAGTTTTTTACCATTTGTGGCTTATTAAATACCTTTTATACTGCACTTAGAAGGCTCCACTCTCTTGATCCTTTGAACAATGTAGCCATTAGCTTGAAATCATCTTGCTTTTGTTGTTTTATTAATGACATAACTGTGTATCTTTTAATATATTGTAATAAAGTCTTGTAATTTTACCTCAGTATTTCTTTTTGAGTTACCTTTAAAGTCCTGCATTTTTTGGGGGGATCTCTCGCTCACCATTTTAAAATTGGGAAAGCATTTGATCACATTGATCTTGAACATGAAGGAACAAACAGCAAACAGCAAGACTTGCAATTTTATGCAGATATAGCACCTGAAACATCATCAAGAAGAAGAGCCCTGAGACCACTATATGAAATAGTGGGATGGAAGGATAGATGTTCTGCTAGATTGAGGTTCCCAGAAGAGCTCCAGGACTTCTGTGAGAGATCAGAACTGCAAATGCCAGAAATACCAGGATGGACTGATGTGAATAAGGAGAAAATGGGGCTGGATGGAGAAAGATGGCAACTAAACTCAAAAGAAGAGATGGCAATAGAGATATGAGGAGTGGAAGAAGATAAAACTTGGAAGAGACTTTTATAGATAAGAACTAATTAATAGGTGGATTAGTAAGAGTTAGTTGAGAGCTGTTTCTAGGGTGTGTTTTTTTTTCCCTTCTCTCTCTCTCTCCACCCAGCTTCCCTCCCCCCCCGCTTTCCTCCCCAGTCATGTGACGTATGGTAAGGGGAGGACGCATGTGGCTGATGGATCAGGATGGGGGAGAGATTTGATGGAGATATGGAGTATAAGGTATAATGAAGGCAGGAAAGAAGGAAGAAGGTTGTTCCTGAACCTACACCTCTCAAAGAGTGGGAAGGGGGGGGGAGACATGCATGGACAGAGTCTCACCCCAAACTGAAGGACCGAAGGTGGGACCTGAACCACAGAAAATCCAAGGGCTAGGAATAGGCCATGGGTTTTTTTTTAAGGGAAGGGGATGGGAGGGGGGATAGGGATGCGGGGAGGGTGTAGAGGGGAGGGGGGGGTTGGGATGGAAGATTAGAGAAGAACAGACTACCTTGGAGTCCTCTGGTGTTTCAAGTTAAATATATTAAGATCTCCCTCTATGAGGATTTGATGAAAGGAGAAAAGATGGGAAAAGAGAAAAAAATTAAGGGATGGCGGATAGGAATGTAGTTAATTTTATGACCTACAATGTAAAAGGATGGAATACAAAATACATAAGATTATGAGGGAAACATATCAAAGCTCAATAGATGCAGTATTTTTACAAGAGTCACATTTATTTCAGGATTCAAGAATTATGTTACAATCAAGAAATTACCCACTTTGGTATTATGCTGACTCCCCAATAATAGGGGTAGCTATAGGGCTGGGAAAAAAAATGTAAGACTCACTATAGAAGATAGGCTTGTGGACCCAGAAGATCTGTTTTTGTTCTTGAGAAGGAAATTGTATGAAATGGAATGTACACATGTAAACATTTACTGCCCAAATAAGAACCCAATGGCTTATTTAGAAGATCCCTTAAGGGAACTAATAGATTTCAAAAGAGGGAAACTGATTGTGGCAGGGGATTTAAATTTTTGCATGGATCCCTAACTTGATACTTCATTGCATGTACGGAGGGATAGGGGTAATATGTCTAATATCTATCAAAAAGAAATTGCACCAATGTCATCTGGTAGACGCGTGGAGGATTAAACATTTAGGATTTAAGAAATTATACATTTTATTCCCCTGTACATGCAACATATTCTAGACTGGATTATATAATGATAGAACATAGATTATTGGAGTCGTTGACTAAATCCAGTATTGAAGTTACATCACTATTAGACCATGCACCTGTCACAATGAGGTTGAAAATAGGAGTGGTGCAAAGTAAAACATATGCTTGGAAATTAACCACCTCCCATCCGCCCTATAGTAATATGATGGACGCAAGGTGGTTCTCTCGTTCTGGGAGGACGTCATATGAAGTCCTCCCATTCTAACCGCGCATGCGCAGCTCCCAGAGCACGCAGTGTGGCGATCAGCGGTCCGCTGTGTCCCTCGGACACAGCGGATCACCGATCCATGGAAAAAGCCAAAGATGTTGGCTCGGTCATGTGATCAGCTGTGTCCAATCACAGCTGATCACATGTAAACAGGAAAATGTCGGTTATCGGCATTTCTCTCCCCACGAGGAGACGAGAGAGCTGGTAATTGGCATTCCTTGGAGGGGACATGTACACAGATCATCATAGCAGTGATGATCAGTCTACCCTGATGATCTGTGTAGCCCCAGCAACGCCACCTGTCAGTGTCCATCAGTGCCAGCTCTCAGTGCTCATCCATGCCACCTGCCAGTGCCCATCAGTGCTGCATCAGTGCCACATTTCAGTTCCCATCTGAGCTGCCTTTCAGTGTCACCCATCAGTGCCACCTATCAGTGCTGCCAATCAGTGCCACCTATCAGTGCCAGTCAGTGCCGCCTATCAGTGTGCATCAGTGCCGCCTATCAGTGCCCGTCAGTGCTGCCTAACAGTGCCGCCCAACAGTGCCAGTCAGTGCCACCTAATAGTGCCAGTCAGTCAGTGCTGCCTATCAGTGCCAGTCAGTGCCGCCTATCAGTGCCATATATGAGTGCTGCCTTTCAGTGCCCATCAGTGATGCCTGTCAATGCCCTCAGTGCCAACTACCAGTGCCTCCTCATCAGTGCCCATCAGTGCCACCTATCAGTGTCCATCAGTGCAGCCTATCAGTGCCCATTACTGCAGCCTCATTAGCGCACATCAGTGAAGGAGAAAAATCACTTAATTACAACATTTTATAACAAAAATTAAGAAAAAACTTTTTCAGTGCTTTTTGGTTTGTTTAAGAAAAAAATAAAAAAAACCCAGAGGTGATTAAATACCACCAAAATAAAGCTCTATCTGTCACAAAAAAATTATAAAAAATTTCATATGGGTACAGTGAATGACCACGCAATTGTCATTCAAAGTGCAACAGCATTGAAAGCTGGAAATTGGCCATGGGCAGGAAGGGGGTATAAGTGCCCTGTAGGCTAGTGGTTAAATGAGACACTCATCCAGGAGACAGAAGCTAGAATAAAAAAAAACAATATTTTTTGTCAAATGAAACTGAGGAAGTCTCAGTGGCCACAGTATGGGAAGCACATTAGGCATATATAAAGGGTATTTTGATTGTCATAGGGGCGGAAAAAAAGAAATAAAGGTCAGAGAGGATAAAAATACTAGTAGAGGAATTATATGCATTAGAACAATCACATAAAAAGAGAATGAAATTTGAAGTACAACATAAGTCTTAAAGAGAGAAGAACTAAGTAACTTAATGCAACAGGAAACAAATAGGGTCTTTAATATGGTGTCGAGAGAAAGTTATCAATGGGGGAATAGATCGGGAAAATATTTGGCAAGGATGGTCAGGAGAAAAAATCAGTAAATTTTATAGAGAAAATTAGAAATAAAACAGGAGAATTAGTTTTATCCAACTAAAATAATTGCTAGTGTATTTAAAAAATATTACAGTTCCTTATACGCAGTTAAACCCAAGAATTAAAAAGAACTGGAAGAAGATAGGGGAGTAAAAACCCAGATATATTTAAAAGCAGCTGGACTACCTACAGTAGAATAGAGGAATAAAGACGGCCAATGTTAGACCAATTTCACAAGAAGAAATACAAGTTGCACTAAGGAGTACAACCGCAGGGCATAGCCTGGGGCTGGACGGATATACGGTGAGATATTATAGGAAATTTAGAGAACAACTAGTGCCGAAAATGTGTATATATATATATATATGAATGCATTAGAGTGCAAATAAGGAAGGAGTCGTTGCTGGCACATATTACAATTATACCTAACAAAGGCAAAGATTTGTCTCAATGTGCCAGCTACAGACCGATTTCATTATTAAACATAGACACGAAATGATATGCAAAAGTTATTGCCATTAGGATGAAGGACATAATATCGGAGTGGATACATATAGATCAGGTGGGGTTTATACCAGGAAGAGAAGGCAGAGACAATGGTCTCATATCACTCAGGGAGCACAAAAACCTTGCAGTTCGCGTATTTATAAGATACTTTCTATAATTACTGAACCAGTTGTGCCACTGTATATGGGCAAATGAGAAAAAAAACACAGTTAAGTGAGCAGCAGAGAAAGAAAATATTTAGAATTGTACATGGGGCAGTCCATATGAACATAGTAGAGATGAATTATAAAATTATAGCAAGATGGTATGTTACACCCAGTAGAGCCCATAAGTTACATTCAGAGAACTCATCACTATGCTGGAGGGGATGTGGGAAGGAGGGCACAATGGTACATATATGGTGGGAATGTTCTAAAATACAAGAATTTTGGCAGGAAGTAGTTCAACAAATAGTAGAGATTATAGAAGAGGGTATAGTTAGAGATCCAAGGGTGTACCTATTCCATAACACTGATCTAACAGTAAAACAATATAAGAATATGATGAGACCTCATCTAATAATGCAGCAAAAGGGCTGATCCCTAAGTTTTGTAAGGCCCAAAAGACCCCTAAATTAAAAGATTGGATAAAAAGAGTAGAATCTAAATATAGAAAGGAAAAACTTTATTACAGTGGAGAAAATAAAATGGATAACTTCATAAAAATCTGTGAAAATGGTGCGAATTTAAAACTACATAGAGGTTTGCTGAGCTAATGGAGTAGAAGAATAAAGAGAAATGAGAAGAGGGAGAGAGATAGTGATAAGAGAAAATAATAAAGTTAGAGAGGAAACGAAGGTGTGAAGGTGGAATACTAGAGGAATAAGAAGGGCTTATAAAAAAGAAAAGGGGGGTTAGGGTGGGGGGAGGGATGGGAGGGGATTTTTTTTGGGAGAAAATTTGTAATAAATTGTAGATGATTATGTATTAAAGTGTTGCTGGGTTTTGTAAGATGTAATTAATAAAAAATAAAAAAAAAATAACCTTTGATACTGTACCTCATGACACAGAAAATAAATTAGCAACGTCAGTCACAGAGGCATCAGCTAAGCAGGCATAAATAATTTGCCCTCTCTGAAGCTCAGTAAGCTCTGACGTGATTCCGTATTACTAGCAGTGCACACAGTGAATGACAAAAGGGAGGCTTCCCACCTGTTAGCTAGGTGTCTCATCACATAGCGGAAGCAAAAGAATGTTACATCCTTTCCACTTTCAACACAAAACATGTTGTCATGTTCACACCTGCAAATCATGTAGTGTTTCCATTTTTTTGTCTAACCCCTGAACATTCAACATTTAACTCATGGGATCTAAGCTCCTAACAAAAACCTCTTTACTAGTTCTTTGCCTCCTGCCTGTGTTTTTGGGTACAGCTTCCAGAGTTCAGTTTCTTTTTACTGTTGAAGTCAAGACAGGGGCGGACTGACAACTCATGGGGCCCCGGGCAATAGGGGATCATGGGGCCCCTGTGTCCTTGCCCAAACTCAAAAAAGCCTATGAAAAAGGTACCAGGGGCATCTCATGGGGCCCACTACTGACCCTGGGCCCTCGGGCAGTGCCCGAGTTTTAAATGGTCAGTCCGCCCCTGAGTCAAGACCTCAGTATCAAGATTAAATAGTTTCATTAAATAACAGGAGGTTTTCTTGTGCATTGAGAGGATCTTCAATAGTTTAATATTGGCTGACAGGCATATGTTAAACAACTAGCATCATAAATATTCTCATTTAGCCCTGGAAACAAATTAAGCTATTCTTTGAAAGCCGTTTCCATGGCGTAAATGAACAGAGCTCCAGTACTATTTTGATCTCAGATGACAGGCAGCTGTAAATTGCAATGTGAGTTGTCTGTGAAGGGATGATCTGCCCCTGTATCAACACAAAGTATCCTCAAGCAAGCCAAATACACAAACCCCTGCAAGGAAACATAGACTAAACAGAAATAAATCTCTATGATCAATTAACATAAAAATACTTGAATTATAGATAGTGTTCAGAAAATAGTTTTGCACACTGACTTTAGAGCTGTGCCTGAAGCAAGAAAAAACTTCCTGGGGCTGAGAATGGTGTTGGAAGCTTTATTTCTACAGGAACTGGTTTTCCTAACCATAAAAAGTTTATAAATAGAAAAAAAATCATGTTTGGGTGGAGGAAAGGGTGAGATCAAAATTTACAATGCTGCATTGTACATATGTCTGGACAATGGCTGTTGCTATACTTGGCACAGCTGGTACATCGAATAATTAATCATATGCATTCAATAAAATAGTGTGTTTATCATTTTCCTTTAATTTTAAACAAAGAAGTAGGGGTGAGCTGAATAATTTCAGGAAAATTGATTTTACTGCTTAACAACTTAATTTTTTTTGTTCTGTTGAATCTCGCTGAAGTTGGAACTCTGTTTCCCTCATAGAACTGATTAGGCCACATTTGCTGTTTTTTCTTGTGTTTTGTACCTTTATTGTAGGGTATATTTAGGGTAGTTTAGTTTATTTTATTTTGGGTTTGTTTGTGTGTGTTTGTGTGTGTTTATATATTTGATTGTTATTTGTGTATTGTTTCAATATGCTTCGCTTTTACTTTTTTTTTACTTTTTTTTTTACTGTCTCTATTTTTCTTTCTGTAGAAACAAAAGAATGAAATGGGGCCAACAATGGGCCATTTTTGGAACAAGCATTGGTCCAGGATAGCTTAAAGAAGTCGCCCTAAACTTCAGGAGCCATTTAAAACTGACTGCACCCTTGAGGTGTAGGTAAACCTTACACAACATGTAGGGTAAAGTATACTGTATGTAAACCCTAAATTATGAACTTTTATTTGCTCTCCTAAAGTGGAACTTCAATCTCTCAATCAACACTCACTATTTTTTTTTAATAATCTAAATGTTTATTAAGGGCCATTGCCCTTTTCTTTTTTTTGATTTTTCAGAACATAGTTACAACAACAACACTTTAGGTGTAAACATTGCAATGAAAGAAAACCATCATCAGTATAAAATAAAACAAAAACAGGAAAAATATGAACATAGACAGCATGGTAATATGCACAACACAATAAAATAAATCGACATAAACCTACACATCATTGGGTTACATTATTTGTCAAAGGCATGTTACTTAGAAAGGTGATAGAATTATATAAGGGGGAGAGGGGTAGAGGAAGGAAGTCTACCAAAGGGGGAATGATCTCATAGCTCCCAAATAGAGTGAAAGTGATCTGAGTGTTCACCCACTAGAGCTGTAAGATATTCCATTTCCCTGATTTCAGCGATCACTCTTAGGAGATGATTTTGCATGGGAACATCAACTGATTTCCAAAGTCATTGTATCACCCTTCTAGCGGCCATCAGGATATGCATTCCCAATCTCTTACATTGCTTAGAGATACCCCTAAAGGGTAGCCCCAAATGATAATGTAGCAGGTCTAGGGGTAGGGTAACATTGAGTACTTGTTCCAATATCTTTCTAACCATGGCCCAATAACCCGCAATCTGTGGACAAAACCAAAGGATGTCTTCCAAGGTACCTACTTCTCCCAT